GACATTCCAGTGGGGTAAAGCTTTTTAGCAGTTGCAGTATGGATGAATTTAAGCAGATAGTTTCACAACCTGGACTTGAATGCCTTCAGAATCAAACAGTTCCAAAAGTGGTTTATGAATCAAAAAATGCAGTGTGCGGCAATGGGGTTGTGGAACTCCATGAGCAATGTGATTGTGGCCAGTCATCGGTAAGTTCTGCATAGCTTATTCAGAGACATTTGACGAGTTTCTCATGTAAGCTTTTAAGTATATTGATCCAATGTAAAAGGGAAGAAATTCTTTAAAATAATACATCATTTTGTCATGCATCTAAGATAGAAATTACTGGCGTATGTGACAACTAATACTGAATTTGAAGAATGTGATGAATGTAAATACTAGACAAATAGTACAAAAACTATCATTTTTTGTCATATAACAATTAGCAGTATCACTTTTCTGTTCTATAAACATGAGTAATCAGTAGTCAGTAATATATTTTGGCTCTTTGAGACAGGGTCTCACTTTGTAGTGCAGGCTGTCCTTGAACTCACTAGGTAGCCCAGGCTGGCCTCAAACTGGCAGCAGTCCTCCCGCCTCAGCCTCCCAAATTCTAGGGTTATAGGTGTGTGCCACCACACCTGGCTAATAGTCAGCAATATTGATCCTCAACTATATCACCTCCAAAATTCCTCTCAATTGCCCACATTGGCTCATTAGATTACTAAACGTTTCATTTATGTCCTTATCTCTTAGTTTTATTCCATAGATCTAGCCACAAGGTATCCAAGCAGTAGAAATTTCTCAGCTCCAGTGTAATTTTATGGAACAACCAATTCTTGTATGTTCCACTGTTGATTGAATCCTCATTATGCAGTGAATGACCATATTCCAAAAATTGTATCATGAGATGTGATAATGTGGAAAATATTTGTGATGCAAAAATTATTTAAAACCTCTGTACATATATTTATGAACAAGAATATTGAAAACAATTTCATTAAATTTTTAGCAGTAAAATTGTGGACCATGGAATCATTAATAATTTGATCACGATCAGGAAAAATGTACTAAAATCAAGTAAAGTAGTATTGTGCCAAAGTCAATAATTATACTGCAGTTACAGTTAACTTAGAGACATGGGTTGGTACGCTTTGAAAATGAAATTGTTCGATGGAAATTCTTATGTTTAATATGACTGTGTTTCCTGTTAGTTTTGTGCACACACAAAGTGCTGTAAACCTGAAGCGTGTACACTAATTGGAACTGCAGAGTGTGGAAGTGGCCAATGCTGTCATCCAGATTCTTGCAGTGTAAGTTTCCAAAATATTACATTTTACATTTTTTAAAGCTTTCTATCACTGTGCATTTTTTTGCTTCTTGAATTTTTTAGAATATTAAAATGTTTTATGTTAAATTTTGGTTTTTTCTTTAGTCTCTTTGCTAATTGATAATAACATAT